TCAAAAATCTCCTGCAGTCAGTTTGTGCTTAAGGTATGTGTCGGGGATGACTCTCAGCTGCTTTCATACTAAATCTAGGCTCAAAACTTACTGAGTTACAGCTATKATGCTTAGTTGTGGCAGCCATATTGAACTGAGCTGACTCCAGTTGGTAATCAGTTGTAGAGAAGCATTCACTGATATTTTCATTCACTGTTTAAATCTAACACTATCCAGTTTTGCTTCATGTGCACTACAAGCCATCCTTAAAATGATCCTGGATTCTTTTTGTTTGTTTTTTTATTTTTTTTTTGGACTATTGCTGTTCTTTGTGTAACTTTTTGCCTATTGTTTTAGATTTTTTGTTATTGTTCATTACATGTGATATTTTTCTTTTGTGTTTTCTTTGTGATCAGTTTGTTTCCCGTGTTTCCTGTCATTTCCCCTTTCTCAGTTAGTTTCAGTTCCTCTATCTTGTCACATTATAGAGCACACGTCTCCACTCTCCTCATCAGTCCATTTAGTCTCTCAGTCATCACTTGCAGTTTTGCTTTGTGCTTTTGTACCCTGTCTGGTTCTCCGTTGTCTATTGAATCTCTTGTATGTTTTTGCTGACATGCCCGCCTTTTGTTTTATGAATATCAAAGTATATTTTTAGGTTGATTCAATGGTAGCAAAATATGTCACCTATAAATACAAGACGGTGCAAGCAAAGCTTTTTATATAGCACCCTCCACCACCCAACATCTCATCTCACACTGCTTCCAACTTACGCTTCTGAAGTGTGTTTACAAGCACTGTCCCAGATAGCCTACTGTCCATATATGTGTGAATGGCATAATCTCTCAGCCACCTTGTATGCAGGAGAGGAGACAATAGACTAAGCTTAGATAAAAATGTACCACATTAATCAGAATGAGGCCGTCAACAGCTAAACAATAGAATGAAGGAAAGCGAGGGAGAGAGATGAGAATCCTCAGAGCCACAACAGCAGCTAATAATATAATGGTCCTACTTCAACATTCAGCAATCACGTTATCAAACAGGTTTAAAATTAATTAGTGTTTTTTTTTTATATCATAACAGTCCCATTATGCTAACTCAAATTGTGTTTTATTTGTTTTATCTCCAAGAAAGACCTAAATGCAACCAATGTAGTTTCTCATTTATGATTCATTTGTAAAGCAGCAAAAGAAAATAGAAAGCCACAATTTAATTAAAAAATAAATAAATAAATTAGTAAAAAGCTGCAGCTGTGCCKCTGTTCATATTTGGGCAGCGGGAAAAATCCAGAGCTGTGTTGGACTCCCCAGAGTGAATTCTCATTCAGAGTTTTCTGTCCTGGGGCAGAATGCGATGCACGGAAATGTCAGACACAAATAAAGATTTGTTAATATGCAGCACYGGTCCAGAGAGATCCCTCCACCTCGTGATGAAATAACCTGTCTACATTAGGCCTTTAAATGAACAATTCTTACAATTCAGAACTAGTGGTCTCAGGTGAAAACACTCAGAGACACTGCAAACATTCAGGATGTTCTTAATTTAAATCTATTCCCCACATTCATATGTCTGCTAATTAAAACAGAAGTGGAAATACATCATTTAATTCACTCTGTAAACAGAATCAAATCACAGCGATAAAGAGTTTTTGAAGCTCTGCTGAGTGAAAAGGAAATAGATGAGCAATGTCTCATTTTTACAACACGCAATTTTTCTCCATGTTTAATGTTTTAAATGCAAAGACCACAACCATCAAGCTACATTTTAATCGGCTTTAGCTATATGTATCTAACTCAATAGAAGTTTGTTTTTTGTTCTTTTCATGCTCCTGACACCTCGCCTACAGACAGACWGCTCCCCATACCTATCCAAAAAGCACTGCTGCACTAACAATGCCTTTTACATCTGGACAGAAGAAATAGATCATTAGGAAAATATTTTTTAATAAAATAACTATAATAATGTTAACAAGCATCCACACATTTGAGAACAGACACAAATCTGAAGGCAAACAAAACCAATCCAGCTGTGGTTCAGTTTTCACATAGAAGAAGTTGGACTAAAGGTATCACAGCAATTGCACTACAATGCCTGAAAAGTGATCCATTTTTATCTTTTACTTCTTTCTGCTTCCTTTCATTTCATTTCTGATTTGTATTTTTCATTGGATATAAATTTATTCTTTTTGTTTAATAATGAAAGAATAAATACATAGAATAAAAATAAATAAATGATAAAAAAATATAAATGCTTGAAAGTACTTGATCATAGGGGCAATGAGAAAAAAAACTGATGCAATGGGGGGAAAATATCCATTTTTTTACAAATCTGTTCCATTCAAAACAAAACAGTTAGAAGTGAAGAGAAACACATCTAACATTTGAGGAAAAATAACGAAGTTATAGCTCTTTTAAAATAAATGTGATTCAACTGGTTTCAACAGTATTATATTTCAGTGAGAAAAAAGGAGACCCGCTGCTTAACAGGGATGTGATGGTTTATGTTGAGTCATTTTACACGTTACAGTGAAAAGCTGAACTTAGTCATCAAGGTTTTAATAAAAATGTTATTTTATTATTTACAGTTAGGTCAATAATCTATTTGGACAGAGASAACAGTTTTCTAATTTTGGTTCTGTACATTATTACAATGATTTTTGAGCAAAACATTTCAGTTGAAGTTGAAGTTCAGAAGCACTGGGACACCAGACACTACTTCCTCTTTTTTAATGCCAGGCCTTTGCTGCAGTTTGTTTTTAGTTGCTGTTTGTTTGTGGGCCTTTCTGTCTGAAGTTTAGTCTTTAACAAGTGAAATGCTGCTCAATAGGGTTGAGAACAGGTGACTGAGTTAGTCTATTTTTCTCAAGATGTACCAAACAGTAGATTTTGCCCCTCATAATATTGTAGCATTTTCTCAGATGTGTATTTGTTTTGTATTGTTTTGTTTTGTTTTTACAGCTTAAGGATACCTTGCTTCACTTGCATAGAAAGCTCCTTTGACTGCAAGTTTTCTTGCAACATCTTCCAAATGCCCTTTATCTGCCTAACTGAGAATGACATAATGAAGGAACTGCCAACACGTGCTCAAGAAATAGCCTTTGAGTCAAATGCCCAATTACTTTTGGTCCCTTTAAAAGCAGGGTGGGCACATGTTAAGGAGCTGAACTTCTAAATCATTCACCTAATTTTAATGTGGATACCCTCAAATGAAAGCTAAAAGTCTGGACTTTATGGTCATGTACATTATAAAACTATAACTTGAATAAGTTTCAGTGAACAGTTCAATTAAACAATAATAAAATGAATTTWAAAAAAAACTTTGTGTCTGTGTCCAAATAGATACGGGCCTATCTCTGCAGTTTGTTGATGATATGACACATGAAAAACCGATCAAGTAAGAAAAAAATTATTACATTTAATTTTGAGGTGCTTTTATATTTTCCTGTCACAAAAATAATTTGTTGCTTTAAGCTTTTTTTTTTTTTGTTACAAGTCTTAAATGATTAGATACAAAAGTGTTAGACCTCATGCTGCCTGGTTCAAAAAGTAAAAGTTGCTAAATTTAACCTCATTATGCTATGTTTATGAATATATTTTGTATTTTGACTGGTTGATTTGAAAGCTTTCTAAAGTGCCTTAAAGTATGTGCATTTTACCTAACTTTAATTACTTTATATATCTTTATATTTAGGTATAGTATAGGTTTTTAATAAATTTTGCCTGTTTCTCCGTATTTAGCACCTCACTAAAACCCATCAGGTAGGTTGGTTTTGTGCTGTAAAAGTGTCACCCGGATCATTTTACTGTTGCAATCACACTTCTAATTTAACAATGAATTTAGCTCAAGAGGTGAAAGACGATGGTAATGATTTGTTTCTCACAGGTCTCAGGTTTATAAAACTGAAATGTTGTTAACAAATTTGCAAAGAGCAGAGCATGTAAACCAATGAGGTCTTGTAAAGGAATGATACAGGAAAGCTAAACCTTTGTGTTTGCTTATTTTCAAGTTTACATGCCCAAAGTACTGCTGAAGTGACGAGCCAGTGTACTGTTTAATGTGCATGCTTTTAAGTTAACTGTGCTGATGGTTGAAAAAAGAATTTCGTTCTAACAATTACAATAAAACCAACAAAATAAGGTAGACAACGTGTCATGAATCACTGCAAACCACAGCACTYGAGGTAGCAACACATGAATACAAATGACAAGTTTTGATGTTTATAGATGCACCAGAATATCAAACTCACACACAAAACATCAAAAGGAAAAAGTTGAAAGTAAAAAAACAAAAACAGCTGTTCATAAACATGTGGCACTGTAAGCTTAAACAGAGTCCCTGAGCAGATACAGGTCCTGTGCTGCAGCAGCTGTTAGCTAACGTAAAGAGCTTCAGCACCATGGACAGCGACCACCGTTTACTCCAATGTAAACTTCTACAGCTCCACAAATAAACTCAGTCTTTCACTAACGAACTGGTTTTACTTTTCATAAACCTTTAAATCAAAAGGAGGGGGAGCTTGCATGGTGATATGAAGTGCTTGTGTAATTTAAAGAACATACAAGGTAAGGACTGCAGAGTAAAGTTGCAGTGACGTAAGAAAAGTTTGAAGCATGTCAGCTAGTAATGCTAACGAGTCTGTTAGCTACTCGAATAAAACGTGTTCAGGTTGAAAAGTAAACATTTCTGAAAATGCAGGGTATAGATAATACACATATATTCGTATGCTTACACATTAATTAGCACTGGGATGCTAGGAGGCCTATTGCTGCAGAAGAAAGTGCTACTTTCGGTTTCTTTTATCATATAATATTCAGCTAATTACCGACCACTGACACCTGGTTGCACTCAGAAACACGTTGGTTAGTGGCCCATTTTGGTTGCTCTATTATTCACTGAAAACAATTAGCCAGGCCTAAGCTAATACAGACAGATGTTTGTAGGGATAACATGACTGAATGGGATTTAATCCATCCCATTAGGCTAATAATGAGACGCGCCGCATTCCGGAAGCAACTCACCCAAGACGAAGAAGGGCAGCTCGGTGTTTTCCAGGTCGTCCACCACCACGACGTCTCCGGGGAAGTCGTTCCGGACCGAGAACAGCAGCTTGGGCTCGGAGGCCGACGGACTGTGCATGATGCTCAGGTCGTTCTCCCGCAGGAACGGCAGCGCGGACACGGTGACGCTCTTCGTCTTGCACTCGGTGTCCTGGCTCTGGTCCTCGTCGCCGTTCAGACCCCGGACGCCGGCGGTTCGGAGRGCCAGGAGGAGCCACGCGAGCCCCAACATCCGCTGCAGCAGCTCCGTGTTGATGCTCGCCATCTCTCCGTCGCTCCTTTCTCCTCTCCTCTGCTCGCCTCTCCTCACAAGCTGCTTGAGTCTCGCAGCTGAGCTGAGTGTGAGGAATCCACCGGCGGGCTCTGCCGGTGTGAGAAACAAACGCCTCCTTTTCTCCTCTATGATCAGTCACATGTTTTTTTTTTTTTTTTTTTTTTTTTGTAGATGTATATCGACTGTGCGGCTGTTTGGTTGTGTTTTAATGCCGTTGACCCCCTTTCACTGTAATTGATCGATAAACTGTCGTAATAGCTCTGTAATGACCGAGCATAGATTACTAACAGCAAAATCACCCAAAGTACCCTAAAGCCTCTATCAACAACAGCTTCATCATTTGTTTAATCTAATTGTGCATTTGGCCTCTCCTGTAAATATGCATATCATCTCCAAGGCTCAGCAGTGAGCATCTTTAGTATTTTGCCTGACCCCTTTGACTGGGTGAACATTATACTGATGCATGTATAATTGACTAATTGAAGGTGCAGAGACATAAACTGACTGCTAATCTCACTGTGCTCAGTCAGTGGCTGCAGGCAGTGCTAAAAAAGCTGCAAAGTGCACTGATTTAGTGTAGTTATTTCATTCATATAAACAATGTATATATACAGGTGCTGGTCATAAAATTAGAATATCATGAAAAAGTGGATTTATTTCAGTAATTCCATTTAAAAAGTGAAACTTGTATATTATATTCATACATTACATACAAAC